TACTATAAATTAAATGCTGAATGGCGGTTCATGCAGGGAAAGAACATATCAATATTCGCATATTCATTCAAAAACATAAAAATTCTTAATGGAGTACCCTCATTTTTTATTGAATTCCTAAAAAACAATATTTATAATGAATTTTAAAAAAATTTCGAATTTTTTTTAAGCTTTATTCTGACCGATTCACCCGATTCCCGATCCGGATCGCCGATTCGCCGATCCGGATCGATTTTTTGGAAGCCCGATCCGGGTTACTGATCCGTTTTTTAAACCATTGGTATCAGCAAACCATCGTTCCCTTAGTATGGTCCACGAGAGACCATACTCCCACTGAGTTCATGTTCTACTATATCATTTTATTTTACAAGCACTCATAAGGCCTTTAAAGGCCACATAAACCCAACACAGTTGAAGATAGTCATTGGTTCAAGTGTCAGCTTTGAAAAAGGCCCATACCTCACAAAGTGTAAGTTTCTATTTGGCTAGCGGCACAAGAGAAAGTGCTAACTATTGATAATTTGATCAAGAGAAGTAAGATTCTACCAAATGTGTGTTTACTTTATAAGTTGGATGGGGAATCTTGTGCCCACTTCCTTGTTCATAGTCTTTTTACGGATAAGATTTGGAAACGTCTTCTAAATCGTTTTGGCTTTAGTACGAATCTCCCCCAAAATGTTTTGGGTGTAGTTTCCCATTTAAGCTTCCCTTGTTTATCAAATGGTGATATTGTCATTTGGAAAGTTGTAAAAGGGGCAGTGTTATGGGAAGCATGGAAAGAGCGAAATAGGAGAGTATTTGAAGGTAAATATTTATATGTAGAGAGGGTGATGAACAATGTCTTAGGAGAGTATTTGAAGGTAAATATTTATATGTAGAGAGGGTGATGAACAATGTCTTACATTCTAGTTAGAGTTGGCTTAGTATTACCAAAGAATGTCAAGGAATTTCTCATATAGATGTTTTACGAAGTCTGCACAATCTCATTTATCTTCGAGTGATCAGAAATAAGCTCGTGGGTAGATAGGCTCCATTTTTTGAGGAATCTTCTAAACTAAAATTTGATGGAAGTTCTTTTAGGAATCCTGAAAAAATAGGTTAGGGAGGTGTGGTGAGAGGGGCTGATGGAAGAATAGTTTTTGGTTACTAAGGCCTCTGGGTCAAGTCATTGCTAATTTTGCAGAGCTTGCAGCTCTTTTGCAAGGTCTGAAACTTTTTAGGGACAAAAATGTGGGTACCTACTGCGTGGTGGAAGGAGAGTCAATAAATGTGGTCAATTGGTGTCTAATAAGCAGAGAGTTCCTTAGACCCTTAAGTCAATGCGATGTGAAATTCTGAATTTGATAGGAGGTCTCAGTTTCTTTTCAGCATGTTTACAGAGAGCCTAATGCTTAGGCTGATTTGTTGGCTAAGGGGAGTTTCTCTGTCTTCACTTTTAGTTTCAAGTGGTGTAAATCTGCTGTAATCCTTTTCCGTTAGCAATAAAAGTTTTTAATATTGTTAAAAAAATAAAGAGTACAATTTATCCATGCTTGTGAAAAGGCACGTCTTTTCATTGTAATAGTCCAAATGGTTCCTCTCATCAAATGAATAGCGCAGATGAGCCGGGGCTCAACTACACCACAATTGGCTTAGGTCAATACATCTTGTTATCTACCAAAAAAAAAAAAAGAAGGCCAATCACCACAAGAAATTACCAATACACCCCGCACAGTCTCTCCATATGAGCTCATCATAGAAGATACTACCCATCTTTTTATTTATTTATGTATATATATGTTAATGGTGGGTGAGACCGCATCGGCCCCCTAACCACGAATGCCCCAATCCCATTCCTATATGGTCTTTTCGGGGACTTTCCATTTTATCAGCTGCCACTAACCATGATGCCAGGTAGGCCACCCCTGATTCAAGTGGTTTGGTACTCTTGTTCCACTAACTAAATAAATTCCACCAATAGACTAGAGGTTGATCTTTGATGGGCTCTTCGAAACTAAATCACAAGAAATGGGTCAGATGTTAAAATGTGCTGTTCGATCAATTTTCCAAATTTAAATGCGATTTAGTGTGCGTGAATTCCTCTTCAACCAGAATCATAATTTTCACTAAATCGATGAGGGCTATGATCCACACAAATTTGGGACAAACCAGTTGAACTGAATAAAATATATATATATATATATATATATATATAAGAAAAGTTTATATAAAATTGCAACCTTAGAATGTAGAATCACATATGCACCTCAAAAATCTATGGGAAATTTTGTTTTAATGATGACAAATGCTCTAATCGATCATCTCCATATCGAGATGTATGAATATAAAAAAAAAAATTATGAGTCCCAGAAATAGTGCATCCTGCAACACATTATCTAGACCGTCAATTTTCAAGATTTTCATATATTTATAGATCTACTTGATTTTAACCATTTTTAGAATTTAAAATTCTATAATTAGACATGAAAATGAATTTTAAGATAATCTTAAGAATTTTTTATAACAAAATTACATGTTAAGATAAAATTTTGAGGTGCGCCTTAATTGAATTGTTTAAGGTTCGACCTTATAGAAACCGCACCCTATATATATAAATGCCAACTTTGTTTAAATTTCTAACCACTCAAAATTAATAGGTCAGGCAATCATAATTGATCAAACATTATCCTGGATATCAAACAAACCCATTTTTTATTTTGGAGCAGACCGATTAAGGCATGCAATGATTAGTGGTTGAAATATTCCAGTCTTGATAACTATGGCATAGCAAAGTAGGTTCCTGAATAAGGATTACAGACGTTGCGTTTTTCTTTTTCTATTTGCATTTTAGTATTAGTTTTTTTTCTCACTTTGGGTAGTCTAGGCACGAGCATGAGCTTACTTGCAGAGTGGGATCCCCTTCCCCTAATGATTGACTTACCCAATCAGATCAATTCAAAGCCGTTATAAGGCGACTTCATCAATTGTGATTTCAAGGCCCGCACAATGATAGAAGAAACGAATAGCTTGCAAGGCAAATTCAGACAGCATTGCCAAGGGACAGAATACTCTGTTAATGGAAATTGCAAGAAACTTCATTCATTTGCCAAGTTAATCAAATAAAACGTCAATATACAAAATTATAAAACAAACTTACAAAGAGATTTAATCGGCGCACATGCCAGTGGCATTTAGAACTTCACATAAATACGCTTCTTGTGGAGAAATCCTGCAACTATACACCAGAATAAAATTCCTAGTAGTACAAATGCCAACTTTCCCCACCTTTTAGAGTGAAGTAGAGTTTCAAGTAGCCATTCTGTAGCACTGACCTGCATATCAAGTCCAGAGAGAGAAAGCGAGAGAGAGTTTAAGGAAACTGATTATTGCAAAAATATGTGAAGGTAAAACGAAATTCAATAGAGAAAAAAGTTCTAAAATTACCCTTCTTTTTTTTAAAAAAAATTAATGTTAACTTGAGACCTAGTAAGAATGGAACTCAGTACGTCGCCTTATGGCACCCCACCACACTGACCACCCCATGCTTTGAGCCAGTCATCATTTTAAAATCACCCTTCACTCTCACATGGTCGTTAAAATATGAGAAACAAAAAAGGAAAAAGTCCACTAAAATACATGACCTTGTAATTTTAGTTCTCATACGTAAGATCAAACATGCACAGAAAATATAATGGGACATGGACCACATATAAAACGGAAGTTACGCATACCAAGTTATTAGCAGGCGACCGCCAGTAGAAGCCTTGGATGGCTGCTGGAAACAGGTCACAAGCTGCCAAAGCATATACAATGAGTGCATTCATCCCCATCCACTCAAGTAAGATTGTTGACCTTCTAAAGTTGCAAACATCAACCTGCACAAAAAAACTGCCATATTCAAATGTCCACAAGCTTGCAAAATCTACAATATTGAGTATATGACAACATTGATGATCATGGAATGTAGGATACGGCTACTAAATATCGACGGACAAT